ATCAAACGAATCAGCCCCCTCTCTCTATCTCTCTCTCACAGTTGAACTTGGACGACTTCAAGCTCTCTTAGTTGAACTTGATCGAATCAGCCCTTCTCAGTCAAACTCAAACGGAGCAGCCTTGGCATTTAGGTTTTTGTTTTTACTTAGCTTGAAGGTTGGATTGCACTGAATTTGGGGTTTAAAATTAGTGTTAGTGTTTTTTGTTTGAAATTGAGATTGATTGTTATATGCTCATAAAGTATTCGATGAATTGCCTAAAAGAATGTATATTGGTCCCTGTATGTGTGTTGTGTGTGTTCTGTATGAGTGTGTGTGTGTGTGTGTTTGTGTGTGTTTTGTGAGTGTGTGGTCTTTCAGTGTGTGTTCTGTGAGTGTGTGCAGTCCAGATTTGACTTTTTCCATGCTAGAGAAGTTTCCATTGCAGGCGAGATTGTTGCCACTTCATTTAGGGTGCAGCATCAACGCTCAGGGCTTCAAATCTAGACAATGGAAGCTGATATGGGATCCTAAAGGAGAGTTGATTCTATTTTTTTTTGAGTGTTTTGAAGGATTAAAGCCTTTTAATTGTGGTGTAAATGGGGATTTTCTTTCCCTTTGATTCGTGTACTTCTTTTGATTCAGTGTATGTATGTTTTTTAGAATGTTGAGCATAATATGTTTGATTAATTGTGTAAGTGAACAAATTGTTGCCATATGAAAAATTGAGCATAATGTGTTTGATTATTGTTTCCATTGCTACTGGTTGCTGATCTGCTACTACTTGTTGGGTCTGTGTGTTAATAGTGTGTGGATCTGTATGTGTATTGTGTATGTGTATTTGTTTTGGGATTGTGTTGAAATTGGGATTGGAATTGGAAAAGAATGTGATTTTCTTTGTGGGTCTTGATTAATTTTCCCCATCTTTAATTTCAAGATGAAATCGAATGGTGTGAATAATTTCCCTTGGAAACATTGGTATATCACAAGAGGATCTTGTTGTTATGGCAAGACTTCTCCTTATGCAAGATTTGCTATTGTTGGTTGCTTTTGCTTATGATGCTTAGTCTGAGTTACTATTGTGTTGTGGCTGATGGTTTTCGATTTTGGGTAGTGGCTACAGGTCTGAGCTTGAAGGAGAAGTGTTGTATATAAAGTCATTTATTTGGTGGCTGTTGCTTGTTCATGGGTGTCTAAACCTGCTAGTTCTAATTGAGTTCTTTGAATGGAGCTTTGCCATAATGCCCTTATGGTTGGGTGTTTTGAAGGATTAAAGCCTATAGTGGTGATGTAAATGGGGATTGAAATTTATCTTTCTTTTTTTTTTTTATTCATGTAAAATTCTTTGATTCATTCAATAAATTTTTTTCACTACAAGAATAAGGGTCTTTTGTAATAAATTTTTTACAGCAGCTGTGTTTGCTGTCACAAAAGACGTATTTGAGACAATTTTTTGTGGTGACTATGATTGACATCACACAAAACATGTTTGTGTTAATATTTGTGGCAACTATTTTTTCTGCTATAAATAGTGTCATAAACGCAAAAGAAATTTTTTTGTATTTGAGACAGTTGTTTTTTCTGTCTCAAATAATATTTTATAAATTCAAAAGAATTTTTTATATTTATGGCAGCTACTTTTTTCTTCGTATATAATATTTCATAAAACATTAAAATGTTGTTTTAGATTAAAAAATATTTATAGTTTAAAGAAGAAAAACTCTATAAAAAATTTGTATTGACCACAACTATTTTTTATGTTATAAGTAATATTTTATAAAATTACGTAGTTTAACATCAAAAGACAATTTATAGTTCAAAGAAAAGAAATTAAATTCTACAAAGTCAAGTTTTTATATCAAAACTAAGAGTGCTAAAATATGACATGACCCATTAACACGACATAAAATTAGTGGCTTTGAGTCTTACTTAAGCCACCTGTTTAGTAAATGAGTGGACCCGTCACGATACGATTAAAAATGAATCAAGTATTGGTGAAACTAATTAGAAGAAATGTATACGATATGATTCATTTATATACCATTTTCATAATTAAACAAGCCGTTCAAAGAAATATTACGTGACCCTCTGTTGATGTATATTCTAACTTCTTTTAGTTGTTTATTGTATATATGTATACAAATATAATTTTAGTATTGTAACAATAATTTTATATTTTTTTTCAAATGTCATTGAAAGAGTAGATCGTTCGGGAAGGATGTTCAATTTTTTGCATTAATTTCTTGTACTCATAGATCATTATATTTTATAAAAGTGCATATTTTACATTTTGTTTAACTTCTGGGATTGTTTTTTTTTTTTGGATATAAAAATATTGCTATGTTTTTGATAATGTTGATTTTATTTTCTTTTGTGTTTATCTATAATATTAAATTGGATAGTTGTATGGATATGAATGAGTTTTTGCTCTAATTGTACTTCTTACATTGTGAAAGTTTTGTCTTCTTAAGGTCAAAGGTTCAAGTTCCCTTCCCCCCTCTCCCACCAAAAAAAAATTTGTATGGAGTGCATATATGCACAGGGTATATAATATTGGTTACAAACGGTCCATAATAATTAAAAATAAATTTGTTTTTTTTTTGGGGGGCATCGTTGCTGTCATAAATATATCTTCTATTTTTTACGATAGCCAATATGGTATTTGAGGTCGCACTTTGTTGCCGTGATAAAAACAAAGGTGTCAGATTTCTTGTGACAACTTATTTACGACAGGATCTTGCTTTCGTAAAATACTATTTAAGACAAACCGCTGCTGTCGTAAAAACCTTTTGAGACCACACTTATTATGGCAAGGCAATAGCGGCACAATACCACCACAAAAAGTGTTTATGACTTCAAATAGACTTTTTATAACAGCATTTTACCTCCGTAAAAATCTTTTTTTCTTGTAGTATTTTTTTTAAAAAAAACTTGAAGTATTTACTAAACATGTTTTTTGTTTTTATTCTCATAATTTGATAGACATAAATGACTCTCAAACATGTTTTCTGTTTTAGTGTTTACCACAAAACATATATAAAAATTATCTCTATTTTTGATTATTTTGAAGACGCGAAAACAAAAACGTTACATATCGACCCCTTAATTTTTGCATTTCGGCTGAATATACTCCTTTAGGAAAATAAATCCAACTTATTACACTTTTTGTCAATTTTTTTTATTGACGAATGGAATGCCCGTGTATATGGGTGTGGCACTGCATACGAATAGTAGATCAATAGAGATGCTGTTCTCTCCTCTTGCGGGTTTGGCTTGTTCAACAATTTATGATTCCAAGTAAAGTTATAAAGAGTTGGTTAGGGTGGGTCAATCCAGTCTGTCATTGCTTATGTTGTGTCACTTCTGATCGTCTCATTACGGATTTGTGGAGGGGATTTAAGTCTAGCATAAAACTGAGTTTGCATGACTTCATACGGCACCACTTTAAGCATTCTTACAGTACTGAAATACAAATAAAAAGTCGTCAAAACAACAAAACTGCCCAATTGTCACGATAGCTACCTGATTTGTTCGATCTCTTATTTTATGAGTTGTGGAATAAAATATTCTCATTGACTTCATAAATGCTATTTTATTTTCAATATTTTTGACATCAGGAAGTTGTCATTCCCCGGTATATATTTCCTAAGCTTTTTCTTTTTCGTTCTAAATCACCCCAACTCATCATAATTCTAGATATTAGGCCAGTAAAACCAATAGAATTTATGATGTGTGGACTAGAAGGGTAATGATATCCAGTGAGTTCGTGTGTGAAAAGTAAGGTGGGGAGCTTGAGGCTTGAGTGTGTTATTGTAAATATGATAATTAGACAATCGAACAATAAAAATGCTTAATTTATAGTGGTTCACTAGCTATGCTACTTGGTTAGTCTACTCTAATGGAGTCTCTTGCTACTTGAAAATTTTCGTATTTACTCAACAAAGAAGATAGAGTACAATTTCTCTCATATCTATGTATGGAGGTGTCTGGGAGTATTTATCCTCATGGGTGGCGTGGTCCCCCATCCATTACCTCCTCTTTATCTTAAGTTTGTTAGGCTAGTTCCCTAATTTGTTAGGATTTCTAAGAAAATGTTGGGCCATTTGAAGACACATTTTTTTGGTGTGACGTGGCTCATTCCTCTAGAAGCTGGATGTCGTGGCCTAGGGAAGGTAGATGCCCAGTCTATACGAACTACGTGGTTGATGCTTGTGGGCCCCCACTTGACCATCTTTTGATTGTTGTATTTGACTACCAGCTAAAAAGGTTAGCTCGTATGTTCTTTGAATCAGCTGGTGCCAAACTCCCATGTAACCTGGAGGTCGGGCATCCCTTTTTGCTAGTGATCTCTTTTGCTACACTTAGGTACTGTGTTGTTCGAGTTTGAGCTGCTATTTATGTAATTAAAATATGGTATCATCAGTTGCCCCTTGCCCAAGCTCGAACAATGTCACATTTTTCTTTCTCCTAGGAAAAAATTGAAGCTTGCTCCCATCATGACACAAAATCTATCAAAGTTCCATCAGAATATGATGTGACTAGACATTCAGGATAGTAAAGCCTGAAAATGGGAACCCTTCCACCTCCTTTATTGTTGGAATACTAACATCCTATGCGTACACGTGTATCTTTATTGATGGTGTACGTTGAATAACTTTTGAATGACTCCCTGGTGCATTTAATGCGTGTGATGGACCTTAAATTGCCAAAAATTAAAAGATATTTGAACATTGAATCCCCAAAATGGTCTTCGTCCTTTCTATTGAGTAAGAAGAGAAGCTTCAAGAGTTATCGAAGTTGTGCCATTCAACCTGTTCTTGCCTACCCCAATTGATTCCTAAGTACGTTTCTTCCTTCTTTAACTCATTTTGGATAAAATTAACCCCTGGTGGTGGTCAGTTGGGTTTCGATTCATAGTCCTTAGGTTCTGCTATTTTAGGTACTCCTTAGGGTCTTTTGCTTTTTTACCCCTCTTTGTCAACCTTCCCCTATAGTTTAGATTTTATTTAGTGAGGTTCTAGAGCCTCGAACTTAGGGTGATTTTAGATTTTCAATCTCAACTACTTAAGCTTTATCATAATTTGGGGTGTGGGGTCCCCATGGTGAGGATTGTTTTAGATAGTTCATCCAAATCAACTTTTATGAATTCCCAGACACCAAGGGGAGGTTTTGGGAAGAATGTTCACATTCTTCTTAAGAGGAAGAAAATGCTTTTGTTGAGGAGGTTCAAGAAGAAGACCTTCACTTGGCTCTGGTAAGGGATAACCCTCTAGAGCTGTCTTTAGACGCCTAGCCCCTACTTTGGGATTTGAAGCCCTAATCTAAGGTAGTTGCAACGAGGTGCTTAAGGGTGTGTCTCCCAATAGTTTAAGAAAAAAAGAAGAAAAAGATGGGCTTGTCTAACACCTCTACTATGCTGGTCTCGAGGAGGGACAAAAGCCCCACAAGACTTATCTGACCTGATATGTAGCGTGGCTTTTACCCAAAATCGTATGACCAATAACTGGGTCCAATACCTCATTGACTTCTATGGGTTTCCACTGAAGATGATGCTTTATGTTTCGAAGGCTGAGGAGCGGTGTAACTCTACTGTCCTAGGGAGGGTGTGTTTATTCGTGACCACCTTTGAAGCTGGGCTCAAATTTCTAGTTCACCCTTTTATCCGTGTCATTCTACACTATTACAACATTTGTCCAGCTCGTTTGTCCTCCAATGGTTGCGGACTTTTAGTAGGCTTAGTCGTTTACTGGTAGTAATGCAATCTTGAATCTCCTCTTATCCTGCCTGAGTTCACAAATTATGTCCACCTCAAGTCTTCTCTAGCTCCAGGCTTCCTTTATTTTGCCAAAAGGGTGTAGTTTGGGGCATTGATTTCCGACTTTCCTACTTCACATAAAGGTTGGAAAGAAAGCTTCTTCTTTGTCTTCGAGGATGCTTGAGACTTGGCTGGAGACTTTGAAGACATTCCTAGAGTCCCTCTTAACTAGGACGTCCTCTGTAACACTACTAAGTCTCTTTTATGTGGGACTCAGGCTATTATTTTTCTTCTCTACTTCTTTTGAATTTTTCCACCGACCTGGTTTATGGCCACAAGATATCAACCTCCTCTTTCTACTGAAGAGATTGGTCAAACTATTAAAGTCGAACCTCACAGCTTGAGGTCTTTTAAAGATCTGGTTACCTCTGAGAACTTGGCCAATTACGGTTTTGGTCTCCTTATCAAAGCTCCTCCTCCCATAGACCCTGCCAAAATGGTGCATAATAAAGAGCTAATCCAGAAGACCATGGAGGAGAGAAAAAGGGGTAAGCTATTCAAGAAAGCCAACCTACCTTCTTCCAAGAAGTCGAAATCCAATCATCCTCTCTCTACCTTGAGCTTGCCTATGCTTGTCACTTTTTGATGATCATTTCTTCTCAAGATATAACAATGGCCTTCCCAAGCATAGAAAAATTTTACAGTGCAGTAATTTGGATAAACCCAAGATCGTCTCCTCAGGGAATAAATGAAATTTGATTGGTGATGCATACAAATAAAAATACAGATTCTTTAGTTGTGGAAAATTGATAAAGTAGTTTCCAATGTTATAAAATACAACAAAGACAACTAATATATATAACTGTCAATGGGTACAAAAGTAATCAATATATAACAACTCCAGGACACAATCAAAGGTCTACTATCCTAAGTCATTACATAACCCACTTAGACAACTACTAAAACAATAAAACTAGCAAATCCTAACATCATCTACTAAGAGTATCCCCCATCATCCTCATCAAACTTAGAATCGACCTCATCCTCACTACTCTCCATCTCTTGTATTGGATCACGAGGCTCAATCACACTTGTAGGTGGTGGCTCAGATACCAAAGTAGGTGGAACAAGCACCGAAGAAGTAGCACTTGCATTAGTCAATGAAGGTAGGACTAACAATGACTCTCTTGGCAGCAGTGCTGTAAATAATCTCCTCTGCCCCGGTGGCAACTAATGTTACTGCACACCATTGTAGTTTATACATGAGTTTCAATAATATCCTCACAGTCATAGTGGCTATTGACATCTAACCGAAGTGATGATGTCATGGAATATTTTACAGTGATCTACCAATTTTACCCTCAATTTAATTGAGGTCCATCTTCTTTTCCTATTTATTGGGAATAATTCACACCCCATTTCATGTTCACAATTGAGTTTTCCACTACCAAGAGCTCAAAACCTCGACATTTTCCTCCTCTCTGTATACGTGTAGTATTGCATGTAAGAATTTCACGAGCCATGTGTGCAATAGTTTGACATCATTTTATAGTTAATGGGTTCTCTCTCTCTCTCTCTCTCTCTATCTCTTTATATATATATGTATAGTGAGGCATAAAGGACTCCTCCACTGATTAGCACTTTCTTGGGTAGGTACCTGATAGTCGATATTCATTTGGAGAAGATCCTAGCATGGCAACCCGAAACAACTATGGATTAACTCTCATACTTCCAATTAAGTTACTACTAGCCCTCTCACCCACCTTTTCTAGCAGAGTCTTACTTGGCTAAGGGTTAACCTAGGACTAAGGGTTCTAAGAAAGCACTACTTCGAGTATTAAGGAGCTAGTGATAAGATCAACAATACCTCCTGAAAAGTATGTCCTCACCTTCAACCTAGGACCTAATATCCTAGTACGATTTTACCTCAAATATCTAGGAGTTGATGATAAGGTCTATCCTATCATAACCTAGAGTTTAGGTTCCTTTGGGACACAACCTTCTACCAAAATAAATAAGGCTTTCGGGTACTAGGTAAATCATTCAATCCGAGCCTATTCAATTTACCCTTTTTGTTGACTTGCTTACTAACTTAAGCATCAGAGTTTTTTTTGGCTAGCTTCGGTCATTGGTTCACCTAGGTTTCTCCTGTCTTGTTGGTTACACAAGGCTTCCTAATAAGAGCATAATGTTGCATATTATAGGCCTTATAATCATTCATCTTATTCTTGCGCGCCACTTAATTCCTTTATTTTAGTTGAGTTTTGTATTTTATAGTGAATTTGTGTGTCCGTGGGTAAATTAGTGTAGGGACATGGAATTGCATATGTTTCAATGCCATAGAGGACTTGGAAGATGAGGTAAAAGGTTCAGGAGTGAAGCCAAGGCCATAGCAATCATAATTGAGAAAAGACCATTTCTACCAGTTGGTCTTCTACCAACACAACTAAAGCCAGAAGTTGGTTCTAGTAGTAGGAGTTTAATCCTACAGGTATGTTCAAAACAAAGAGTTTTTCTACTGGTAGGTGAGTACTATTATACCATTAGGTTGAAGATGGAAAAGTGTTCTACCAATAGAAGAGCAAAGCGACTAGAAGAAGGAAAACAATGAACAATCATATCGGTAGGTCGTTTGCTTCCTACCGTAGGTTACTTTTTTTTAGATAATTAAGAATCCTAAGGAAGGAAATTAGCTATCATATTTCAAAGGCCGTAATTGGTGGATCAAAGGGAGAAAGATCAGTAGGAAATCCCTTATAAGTACCCAAGTCTAGCAAGAGAGAAAGGAGCTTTATTCCATCGTTCAATTCACCATTCTTTTATTTTCTTTTTCCTAGGATTTTAGATTTTCTTCTTCTTCTTTTAAGCTTTCTTCACTATTCTAATTTACAAGCTTTGTTTAAATTCAAGTATTACAATCTTACAATGCAATTACTTTTGGTTTTTTGCTGCAAACAATTTACATTCATTGTAATTTTAATACAAGGTAATTACTTTTCTTGGAATTTAAATTCTTGAAATTTCAAATCTTGCGATTTCAATTCAATTTTTCTTGTTTTCATTTACAATGATGCTTTCTTTAACTTCTTTCAATTTTAATTTAGTCATGAGGGAGTGATCGTTTAACTGTTTGATCGGATGAAGTAGTCTCATCTATGAATTGAGTATTTTGACTCAAATTAGGATTTTCCAAAGAATAAAAAATTGGGTAAATTGAATAATTAAATTTGAACACACAATCGATTTTTTATCTTCTTGCTTACCCGTCGACAACTAAGACTTCGTACGGGTAATTCTTAGAATTACTACAATCAAAGTGAAATTCAATTTTCTTGAATACACATTTTTCATTTATAATTAGGTGTTAAATGAATATCTATCTCTAGAGTGCGTTTGACAACAATCTCAAGCGAGTTATAGAATTTGGGTCAAAATGCCTATTCACAATGAGGTAATCTTTACCAATCAACCGATTCTTTTCTTTCAGTGATCAATTTCTCCAATCAACTCTAAAAATTCAAGGTTTTTATTTTATTTTGGCTATCAACTCTTGAACCATTTGGTTTCCTTAAGGAGACGACCTCGGTAATTAACCGAGCTACAAACACGATATCTTTTTCTATGATTGGGAATTCTGTGATATTTTTACCCACTTCCAGGGTCAAGCGCTTCTTGTCACCATCTCCATCTGTACGAGATGGTGATTCATAGTGTGGAATTACCCATGCCATCTATGGAAAAACAAATAAGTTTACTAACAACCAGGAAGCCTTGAACCATGTCCGACGAGTGAACCCTCGATCCGGGAACCAGCCGAACAACACTTCTGCTACCCCCAATCCTCGAAGATCCCATTAACTATGACCTCTAATTATCGGAGGAAGAACTACTTCATGATGGACATAAGCACTTTAAAGAGAAACCTCCTTCTCGTCACAACCTACTTGCCCTCAGTATAGAAGGCGGGTTAGCTACCGAGATGGATTACCATGAAGTAATAAGGAAGAAGATAGAGGAGTTAGAAGGTCTCAAGGAAGGCATCCTACGTCGGAGTGGCAAGTGACTCGCCAACGAGGTCAAATGTCCAACCTGTAACTTTGGCCATTAGGACAACGGCTGGGAAGAAACCCATTCATCCCGACGTTAGAGTCATTTTCCAGCAAATCAACTTAGAATCAAAATTGAAGCAAGTACTCAAGTGTTTCCGACTGCGTGTTTAAAGACCTTTTTTTTTATGCACAATCTTCCTTATCGTAGGGAGGAAGGAGGAGAAACATGTAGACAATGTCGTCTTAGGGAACAAGGGGAATGACATGGGAGCTCAACCCTGCTATCATAGGAGAGACCATTGGGGCGACGATTATGGAAGAGAGAAGTGTAGGCACTCTGAACCAGCTAGTGAAGTGGCCACTCAACTGCAATATAACTTCGCTCAGGATGACCTCATATATTCAGGGAATGAGAGTGCAAGGAAGTCCCTTGCAAATATGACTACCACACCTTTTTTTTGGTCTATATAAGAATCTAAACCCCCACGTAAGTTTGATCCTGTGCACCACATAGGGGCCTTTAGTAATAAGATGGTCCTCTAGACAAGCAATAAGCCTTTGATGTGTAAGATGTTCCCCTCCAACTTGGGGAGATCGAATCTTAAGTAGTTCCATGGGATGCCCGTGAACTCAGTCTTTCTTGGGAGTAACTTGCTTGGGAGTTCATCTCTCGATTTATAGCCAATAGCCAGAGTCGATGACGATTGACACACTTTTGGTATTATGGAAAAAATGGGGGGAGAATCTCTATGAGTACGCCACAAGGTAGTTGGAGACTTATGCCTACATAAAACAATGTGATGAGAATACCACCACTCTCTCTTTCTATTTGGGCCTCCCTAGGGAAATCGAGTTGTGGAAACACCTCAGCATATGGGTACCCTAGAGTATGTCCTACTTGCAGGAGCATATCAAGAGGTACGTGAAAGTAAAGGATGAAAAAAGGCCAATCGACCGGCTACTATCATCCTCAAGGATTAGCTAGCAGGAGGAAGATAACACTAATAACACATCAAGGGAGGATAAGACATCCACGGGAACCAGGGACTCTTACCAAAGAGTCAATACAATCTTTAAGGAGCCTACCTATCAGATTCTGAACTAGATCAAGGATACAAATTATTTTAGGTGGCCACCGAAGATGATGGGAGACACCTCCAAGAGAGACCAAAAGCTTCATTATTCTTATCATAAGGATAAGGGCCACCGAACAATGAATTGTTAGACTCTTATGTGCTACTTGGAAAAATTGGTCAAGGAAGGCCAGCTCTCCCAATACATAGATAAAGAGAAGACTACAAAGGAGCAGGCTGAGTAACAAGTCTAACTGGATGACTTGCCTCGACCAGGGGACGGTCAACTTCCCCAAGTGATAGATTTCATCTTCAGCACAACTCCCCCAACGCAAGTTGACTCAGTCTAGTCTCAGATCAAATACTAAAATCTCACCATCTAATCATGTAATGCAAGTAAATCACCCAGGTGGTCACACTCCTAAGCACCAAAGGATAGAATCAGAGGGCATTCCCGTCATGTTCTCAGATGCTTATTTTGAAGGAGTGGTTCATCCACACAATGAGCCCCTTATTCTTACTCTCAACATGAGTGAATTTGAGGTAAAGTGCGTGCTCATTAATCCAGGAAGCTCAACAGAGATCATGTACTACGAGCTCTTGAAAAAGCTATGAAAAACACAAGTTGATATTCTCCCAACAATGATTTCACTTGTTGGTTTCAATGTCATACAGGTTTGGCCGCTTAGCAGGTTACAGGTTCTTGTCAAGGCAGGCTCAATAGTATTTGAGGTGGATTTTTTAGTGGTGGATGTGTCATCACCCTATAATGCTATTACGGGGAGACCATGGCTATACTGGATGCAAGAGGTAGTTTTTACTTATCACAAGGTGTTACGCTTCCCGACCAGTGAGGGGATAGTTGAGATTTGTGGAAACCAAGCTACCTCCAAGTAGTGCCTTAACATTGGGGCTAAATTGATGACTAAGTCACAATAGTTGTATGTAGTTGATGAGGAGATCCCCTTCTTGAGGATGTAGGGGTCAACAAAGCACCATGTTGAAGTTGTAAACCAAGAAGTAAGGAAGCTCCTAGATGCCAACGCCATTCGAGAGGTCCAATACCAACAATGGTTGTCAAACACCTTGTGGTAATGAAGAAGAATGGAAATTGGCGAATATGCATTGACTTCACAAACCTTAACAAGGCATGCCCAAAGGACCTTTTCCCATTTCCAAAGATTGGTCAGATTGTAGATGCAACGTCTGGTCATGCTAGGATAGGTTTCCTAGAAGCATAAAGAGACTATCATCAAATCTGTATGTTTGGGCTCGATAAGGAGAAGATTGTGTTTATCACCCCAAAAGGGATCTACTGTTATAAGGTAATGCCCTTTGGCCTAAAGAATACAAGAACTACTTATTAGAGAATGGTAATAAAGCTCTTTGGTTCCATGATCGAACAAAAAATGGAGGTGTACATAGATAACAAGGTAGTGAAGATCAAGGAGTTGGAGAACCAACTTCCTCTTTGATTTGCAAGATATATTTGACATCCTAAAGAACAACAAGCTCTCAAGCTCAACGCCTCCAAGTGTGTCTTTAGAGGAAGCTCAGGGAAGTTCTTAGGGCTCCTGGTGACAAGAAGAGGGTTAGAATCCAATTTTGACCAACTAAATGCCTTGCAGGTAATTCAGAGGCTTTCCTCAATTAAGAAAGTAAAACGGTTAACGAGCATGACTTTAGCCCTCAATTGATTCATTAGTAAATCATCCAACCAATGTAGGCCCTTCTTCCTGTTACTTAGGGTAGGACAGGCCTTCCATTGGGACAAGTAGGGTGGCAAGGCCCTTGGTGAATTAAAAAGCTACCTCCTAATACTTCCTTTGCTCTCCACTCCTTCACAAGGGAAAGAGCTTCAACTCTATTTAGACATGTTCATGCATGCTATAAGCAGGGTGTTGTTTTGTGCAGAAGGGAGAGAAAAAAAATCCCATCTATTATATAACAAGAAACTATTAGGGGTAAATATGAGGTATACTCCTCTTTGCTTTGGTTATAGCTTCCCTCAACCTGAATCATTACTTCCAAGCACACATCATCGTGGTAATCACTAAGCACTCTTTAAGGAGTGTACTTGGTAAGGCAGATCTTTCTAGTTGGACTACAAAATGGTTTCTCGAGCTCAAAAAGTATGAGCATAAATTCATCCCAAGGACAACAATCAAAGAAGAAGTCATAGCTGACTTCATAGTGTATTTTACATATGAACTACCGAAAGAACAGGTGGTAACATTGAGCATGACTCTCAGGTCCTAGCCCTAGGAATTACAAGTTGATGGATCCTCAACTCGGCAAAGATCAGATGCTGGTATTGTCTTATTCTCTCAAGAAGAAGTCTTAGAGTAAGACCTCTGATTAGGGTTCGCCGCCACAAAAAATGAGGCTGAGTATGAAAGACTCTTCTTTGGAGTATGAGATGCATTGAGAGTGGGGGCAGAGTAGTTGACTATATACTTTAATTCTTAGTTGGTGGTTAACCCACTTAACAGGGAGTATAACGCCTATTCAAACGTTATGACTTCATACCTAGAGAAAGCTATAGATTTTCCTGGAGAATTGAAGTCCTACAAGGTGATCTAGTTTCCAAGGGATCAAAACAAACATGCAAATACACTTGCCACCTTAGCTTCTGTTGACAGTCAAGGTTTAAAACAAACAATTGAGGTGGAGTATCTTGAGAAGCCAAGTATACATTAGGACCAAGTAGAGGTCAATCACTTATGGACCTCCTTGTCCATTATCTTAAAGATAGGATCCTCCTTTAAGACATGAAAGAGGCAAGACTCATTGTCTCAAAGTCAGCTCGCTTTTGGTGGTCACCAAATCACAAGCTCTATAAAAGGTCATTCTCGAGTCCATATTTACTATGCGCCATCCTAGCAAAGTGGAAGATCTACTTTATGAAATTCATGAAGGGGTGTGCAGTGCCCATGTAGGAGGAAGAAGCTAAGCTTTGAGGGCCATCTCCCAAGGGTACTGGTAGCCGTATATGCAAAAAAAATGCATAATTGTACGTTAGGAAGTGTGAAAAGTGCCAGAAGTTTGCTACTATACCCCAACAGCCATAACCCATTCATGAGCCCTTGGCCGTTTGCTCAGTGGGGTCTTGACACAATAGGCTCCCTTCCTCGGGTTCTATCCAACAAATGATGGCTCATCACTATAGTTGATTATTTCACCAAGTGGATTGAGACCAAGTCCCTCTCCAACATTCGCGACATTGATACTAAGAAGTTCATATAAGAGCATGTGATCATAAGGTACGAAAATTCTTTATGCCTAGATATTCGACAATGGTACCCAATTTGATAGCTTAGCTTTCAAAGAATTTTATTCGGGGTATGAGTTCGTAATTACTATTCCTCTCTTGCTTACCCTCAATCAAACGGGAAAGTTGAAGCTTCAAAAAAGGTCATCCTTGATGGTATTAAGAAGAAGCTTGAAGGAGCCAAATGAAGGTGGGTGTAGCAATTCCCAATGGTGCTTTGGGCTTACCTAGTAACACCAAGGCGTTCTACTGGGGAGACACCTTTCTCACTCTCATATGGCACCGAGTCCATCATTCCTCTTGAAGTAGGTCTACTAACTATCAGAACCGAGGTCTATGAACCAGGTAACAACAAACAATCCCTTTAGTAGAACTTAGACCTCATTGAAGAAGAAAGGGACCAATCAATGGTTCGAATGACAACATATAAGTAGAAGTTGGCTAGATCCTACAACAAGAAGGTCAAAGAAATAAGCTTTACACTTGGAGACCTGGTTCTTCATAAGGATCTCACTTAGACTAAGGACCCTACCAATGGCATGCTAGGCCCTAACCGGGAAAGGCCATATAAGGTCGTAGCCCATGCAGGAACCAGAGCTTATAAGTTGGAAAAGTTTGATGGTAAACCAGTTCACTGACCTTGGAATATCATCAACCTTAGAAAATTTTACTTTTTACTTAATTTGTAGAATTTTATCATTTTAATATGTCTGCAAAGACACTTGTTTCTAGTTGATTAGCAAAGAGTTAGAGAAGGTTGTTCCTTATAACTCTGTTTTCTCTTATCTTGCCTTAAGCTATCCTCCGTGGTTTCATCCGTAGGTTATCTTGCCTTAAGTCAACCTCTGTGGTTACACCTTCAGGCTATCTTGTCTTAAGCTAACCTCTGTGGTTGCATTCTCAAGCTAAGCCAACCTTCGTGGTTCCACTCTCACGTTATTTTGCCTTAAGTCAACCTCCATGGTTACACTTCAGGCTATCTTATCTTAAGCCAACCTCTGTGGTTGCACTCTTAGGCTACCTTTCGTTAAGCCAACCTCCATAGTTGCACTATTAGGCTTCCTTTCCTTAAGCCAACCTTTGTGGTTGCACTTTCAGTCTATCTCTCTATAAACCAAGCATATAGTCGCATATTTAAAGCCCTTTCTAAAAAGGCAAAGCCAGTTGAATAGAATACAAGTTGCTAAAACACAAAAGAGAGACTACTTCATTAGTAAAAGAGTTCAACAATATCAAAATTTAGTTCATACATGTCAAACATGGAAAATAGCTAAAATGATGCTAAGTCTTCATTTCATTCGGTGAGTCGCCATCATCAAGGAACTTTCCCTTGATATCCGAAGTTGGGAGATCAACCTTAGGCCAAGGAACCTCCTCCCAAACTAAGGAAGATCAGTCAATCCTGGTTGCCTTAAGTGCTCATTCCCAACCATCTCCAAAGATCTTGTTTCTTTCTCTTGCATACCATCTCCAAAGATCTTGTTTCTTTCTCTTGCATACTTATCCTTGATTATGTCCAGGATCCCAGAGTAATGGTCACAAGTAGCATTCTTCATTCGCTCCTTTAGGCAGGCCATTTACCTATTGGCTATAAGTTCCTCTTGAAGCCCACTAGCTCGAGTCCTGACCTTAGTAATCTCATTCTTCAAGGAGGAAATCTCTACACTCCTTTACTCTTCAACCATGGCTGCCTTAGTCCTATTAGACTCAACCTGATGCTTGAACTGCTCATAATATCGAACTAGCTCATGCAAGAAGTATGTACTCTACATGGTCAATCAATTATCAACTAAAGCTTAGGTAGAATTTACTGTAAAATTTGGAAAAAGTCAACCTAAAACGTCAATTTAAGAACTAAATCACATAAACTTCCCGATGGTATCTCCGACACCTTCTCCTTGTCCCTCGGAAACAAGGTAGTATGACCCATCACTCTGGCCATCTCGACACTCTGGAAAACTAAGTGGTCACCTGGAGGAAGCTTAAGGACTATTTCCTCATCAGTAGTCAAGTTAGGTTAGCTACAGACTTCACTCTCATAGTGGTCATCTCCCCAACAACATCAGAAGGTAACTGCTTGCTTCTTTCCCTCGCCTATAGTAAAATTTTTGAGCCTCCACGTCGAAGGGAAGCCACCTTCCATACCTGTAATTAAGGAATGTCAAATAAAGAGTAACAAAATGCTAATTCAAAGTATTAATGAAACAAAGCTACACTAGCTTACCTAAAAAAAGGTGAGCCTCCTCCCCAACTCCTACCACAGCCTTGCTGGTACATTCACTTATCACCTCTGGAGGCTTGAATAGGCCCTCAGTATTAATGTCAAGTCCAAACCTTTTCCTCCTAGTGTCTCTTTGACAGAATTCCTCATTCTATGGAAGAGTCCCAATCTAAAGTACTCAGTCGCTCCCTTAGCCATGGTGTTAGGAGATAAGAAGTGAAGGAAGTGTACCCTAGGACAAAGTCAAATAGCAGTGGTTTGGACCTACCAAAAGTTACATACACGTGACCACGCAGGGGTGAACAAGGAGTCAACAAGGGCACAGTTGTTGTGCTTCTTTGTCCCTAGAATGTCAAGTGAAGCTGAGAAAGTGAAGAAAAAAATAGAAGTGTTAGTATAAGTAAGTAACAAATGTTCAACTTTCAAGTAAGACAAGAAGGATGTACAAGTAACAAACCTAGCTCATCAATAATGCACAGACATGAAGGGCCACCATTTGTTTCAGGGAAAAACTCTCAGTCGCCCCTTACTATAATGATCTCATACTTGTAAACCTTGGTTGAAGAGGCTGGGCTTTTCCTACTTAAGAGGCAATATTTGTTATTTGAACTAGAGACGACCTTCAGATAGTAGAAATCTAGTACCTCCCAATGGGTAAGTTTGACATCATAAAATTCAGCTAACCTTATCATCCCCCCAAGGATCCTAAAAGATTTAGTGGTAAGTTGGGACACATAAAGGCCCGCCATATGTAGAAGCTCCCTCACTAGTGTAGGAATTGAAAACTTGATTCCTCCCACAATTATAGACACTACAGGCCACTTGTACCAACCATCCTGAAAGTCACTCTCACTCCCTGAAGCAACTTTCAACTCAATGCTCTCGAGTATGTCAAAGTTATTTTTGAATTTAGCTAAGGATGGCTTGCAAGCTACTAGGTCATGGTAAATCCCTATAGCTAACACTCAAAAAGGCCACCCCAAGAGCAAAGGTGAAATTTTAGGATGTCAAATAGCCACCCACACTTCAAGGACAAACACCTCACATCAGTCGATGGGCCAGCAGCTACTTAGCACCGATCGGCTGCAGCCTAGGCACCTAAGCTATGAGGAAAGAAGGGTTTCCAAGTTCCAACTAACCCAAATTTCCAAGTCGAAGATGCTGATGGGCAGCTTACTTCCCAGACACTAAATGATGACCAACAGCCTCCTTCCTAGGCACTCATTGCCAATAGGCAGCCTCCTTACAAAATGCCCAATGCCAATTGGAAAATACCCAACCGCTTTCCCCAAGCTAGAGCTCAACCTCACTAACCCAATGACCAAACCCAATTGAAATCAACCCCCCCCCCCCCAAGAAAAAAAAATAATAATCCTATAAGTTTTCACAAATTCTCAAATTAAAGTGGGCACATGCAAGAATAGTCGAAGAACATTCGAAAATTCATGTGAAAAGGGTGAAGAACATTCTAAGATTCATGTGAAAGGGTAAAGAACATTCGAAGATTCATATTTGAAAATTGTAAACACAAGAGTTTACCCCTCATAGACATCTGGTTAAAAGAGGGTTTTTTCACAACCATTGTTAGGGTTAGAGAGTAATTCATTAAATCTTGACATTGTTTTAGGCTGTTAGCCGACATTATCTGACATGAGATGATAGTGATATTTTAAAAATCATAGAGATTGCCTTGGAATTAGGCCATTTTTAGGGTGTGTCAGAGAAATTTACCTTAAAATGTTTTTTGGGGTGAGAACAATAAACTTACCATAAAATTGAGCCGTCTTTCTTAACCAAGAGATTGTGTGTTCTGAGTCTCATTGAACATTTGTTTTTTGGATTTGTATAAGTTCGTGCTTTAACTAATTCAAGTAAGGTGGTACCAAATTGAGTCGAGTTTAAGGTGCATCAAATTGAAGCAGATCATTGAGACTCTGAAATGAGCATAAGAAAATAATAATTCAATCCCAATAACCAGGTTCGAGTTTGTCACAGTCAACTCAACTCAAACTTGAGCATGCGAAAATTCAAAATATTCAACTTCATTGACATCTGTTCACATTATTACATTTAGGTGAATATATCTACAGTACGCAATCTGTTATTTAAAAGTGAGATAATCTAAGGATATGAAGGTATATCTACCAAATATTTATCCCAAAGAAAAGAGCTGGTGGAAGAATTTGACTTCCACCACAAATGTGTTGCCTAGTCCAAATGAGCTGGCCTTTAGCTGCCTTGACCTGGTAAGCACGGTGGCGACGACCCCAAATAAATGCAGGCAACAAATAGGTTGGTGATTCCTGGGAGAATCTTCTCTTCCCCACCATATGTTAGGAATATACTATTCCTATTTTCCTCCTACTTAAGTATGAATATAAAGATTCACGGGATTGGATCTGTCCAGCTATAACAATTAAGCACCACCAAGTCAAACCTGGTGCATCAAGAGACCAAAATCAAGAGAGAAAAAATGAACATACAAACAAGAAAATAAAAGTAAAGAAAGGCAGTGCAACAAGACATGATCTCATCTCATGTCCTAATATTTGAGAAATTATTTAATGTAATTGTGATATCATGCATACTAAAGACAAAATGAGAAAATGCACAATATTAACTCATAGACACAGAATATAGAGGATTCATGCTAGTCTTTCATATGTAAAGATAAGACATCTATTCTCTCTTCCCATCGCCACCTCTTCTATCATACCTCTCTAGCCTGTTCCCTCAAACTCACAGAGAACAGTACAGATGTGGTAACACAGCATATAACAAACCTATATTTGGTGCACAGAGAGAGAGAGAGAGAGAGATAGGGTACTAGGGTGACTCTTTAGCAGCCATGGCTACAGTGCCGGTGGCCTACCAGGGAAACATCTCCGCCTCCGCGCCGGATTGGTTGAACAAAGGCGACAACGCATGGCAGATGATATCGGCGACGCTCGTCGGCCTCCAGAGCGTGCCAGGCCTCGTCATACTCTACGGCAGCATAGTCAAGAAGAAATGGGCAGTCAACTCGGCTTTCATGGCACTCTACGCCTTCGCCGCCGTAGTAATCTGCTGGGTCACCTGGGCTTACAAGATGTCCTTTGGCGATAAGCTACTTCCCTTCTGGGGCAAAGCAGGCCCGGCTCTCGGCCAAAAGTTCCTCATTAAACAGGCGGCCCTGCCGGAAAGCACCCAGTACTATCACAACGGCACGATGGAGACACCGATGGCGATGCCGTACTATCCGATGGCGTCGATGGTGTGGTTTCAGTGTGTGTTTGCTGCCATAACTTTGATTCTTTTGGCTGGGTCTTTGCTTGGGAGGATGAACATAAAGGCTTGGATGATGTTTGTGCCTCTGTGGCTCACTTTCTCGTACACCGTCGGAGCGTTTAGCCTGTGGGGAGGTGGGTTCTTGTTTCACTGGGGTGTTTTAGACTATTCTGGTGGCTATGTCATTCATCTGTCTTCTGGGATTGGCGGCTTCACAGCTGCTTACTGGGTAAGTACTTTCGGTCCCTATTAGGTGATAATCAATTTTTGTGATACTTACCTGGATAGAAAAAATACCTTTAAAAGTTTATACTAAGCAACAATCCAAGTCTTTAAACTTCACTATTATTATCAATCAATCCTCTCTATCAAAATTCATTAGTAATTATGACAGAAAAAATATCACTTGAGCATTATGAGTTACAATCACATACAAAATTTTGATCAAATAAATATACATACGACTCAAATCTATAAAAAATAAGTTAAGACATTCAATCGAAATAGTCAAATTTATATCAAATGGGTTAGCAAATATAATTTAATATATAAACTTTAACGTTAGTGCCGACTTGTTCAAAATTAGTCTTACAATTGTGTCATGTTATTATGTTCATGTAATTATTTTCCTTTAGAATTACTGACAATTTGAACTAAGAGACTAAACTGAAATAGAACTTAAAGTTTAAGGACTTGATTATTTTATTTGATAGTTTATAGACCAAATAAAAGTTAAGTGTAAACTTTGAGGGCATAATTTATAATTCGCCCTAGAAAAAGTATATAGTTAATTTATTTTTAAGTACGATTTAGCACATTATTGTTTTTTTACTGAGATTCAAGTTTAATCACATCTATAATATTATAATCAAATGGATCTAACCTAGTCAACTACCCTTAATACTGCTAACTAGGAGGTTATGGTGTGAATCTCTACCAAAAGTAAGAATTTTACTATTTTTTGTTCATCTTTTTTAGAATCCTGTTGTGCTCATTTTTAGGGATTTAGATTTAATTATAATAGTGATTAATAGTTGCATATTAAAAAATATATATGTATTTGTATGTTAACTACAATAAAAATGATGAAACCCATTTTTGTTAATTTTATGATGAAATTCATTTCTTATTTCAAAAGAGATATTTAAAAAACTTTGTTAAGTAGTAGCTTAAATGGCTAGTCTTTATTGAAATTTTTTGTCAAGCTTCTAGCTGTTAAAGTTTAAAGTTTGAAGCATTTTTTGCTTTAATAGTTTCACTGGAATTTATGATTCATGTTGAGCAGTAATGTCGCTCTTCGCTTTTTTCTGTGGTTCTCCAACTTCATTTCCCATTTAGACTTATAGCTGACATTTCTTCTATTTTCTCTGGGAAAAAAAAACTGAACATTATTCCGTTACATTCATTAACTGGACTTTTTATTCCTACTTCTTTCGTTTAAGTGAGAAGACAAAATGTCAAAATCATGACTCACAGATTTTTGCAGTTCGGAAGTCAGGGGTGAATTAATAGGCCTAGGACAGGTAGTTGTCGTGCGGTTGACAGCTGTTGCAAAGTCGATGTGTGGAAGAGGTTAAAAAACTGTAAACGTTTGTAGTACAATTGATTTGGTCAATAATATTTACAAAGAATAAGTATTTTATGTCAGTTATAAATTTATGATCGATCATTGAATAACTTCATTATATTGTAATTTAACTTTTAAAATATGTAATTTGAATTTTAAAAATTATATATTTATGTAATATGATCAATAATAATTTTTTAAATTAAAACTGAATCTTTCAAAGATTATATAACTTAACTTTTAAATATTAAAATTTCGATAGGATATTGATGATGCATATAAAAATTTTGAGTTTAAACTCAGGTATTGAGGTCAGGAAGGGAGCTCAGCCAAAAATATCCAAGCTCGGAGGTCCAGACATTCGGCTCCCTCGGCCTGCAGCTCAAAGAAAATGAGTGAAAGACAGCTGACAACCACTAAACGCCCTTTCAACGGCAATAAACGTTAGTTTAGGCGCAAAAATCTCAACTACATAAACTATCGTCTAAAATCAAGCAAAGCGTTACAAGAGAGAGGCGAATATTTCGCCCAGACCCCATGGAATTAGGAACTAAGCTATAAATACTGTACAAAGTCCTCACTTTGAGGCGGGCAATCAAAAAAATAATACCAAGAGGACTGTATAATCCCTTTTTCATTTTCAATATAATTCATAAGAGCAAGAGACTCCCTTGAAGAGTGGATTAACCGAGCTCCCGAACTAGTGAAATAGTATAACTCCTCTATGCAATCCATCATTTTTCCCCTAAAGTTACCACATTTTTTCCAAGAGCCTTGCAGCTTAGATCAAATCCCATAGTATATATATTCTACACAATCACGTTTTAGACACCATTAATTGGCACCGTCTGTGGGAACGACTGTTCCTGTTACAAATATACTGATTTTCTTCATTAATTGATGGTCTCTACGGGCAATATGAGCAGAAGCCAGTTGAATCCTTCGCAGTTGCAAAACCAGCAGGAAGCCACCAGTAGATGGCAATAAGAGAATCTTCGAGACTTCCTACCCACCATTGAGACTAATCCTCCCATGGTGGACCCCCTCCGAATAACGAATTGGAGGCTTTTCGCCTAGTCAACCAGTGTCTACTACAACAGAAAGAAGAACTCTTGAAGCTTCTACAACGTCCTCAAAAGACACGTCTAGCCCAGGATGATCCCCCACATGGGGAACATCAACGCCTCGACCCCCTAAGGGAGGCTAACGAAGGGGGTGAACAAAGCCAAACCATGGGTTATGCTCGTCATCCACCTTCTAGGAATGAAGACAACGAGGAAGTACAGAGCCAAAATGGGGGAACTGAGAAAAACGAATTTCTCCCTTTCCAGCAAGAAAGAAGAAAACAATATTGGGAACACCGTTTCAAAGATATACAGTAAGAACTCAGCCACATGGAAGAGGTTGTGAGAGCTAAGACCCCAGTAACTATGGACGCCTTGGTGTAGCAGACTGAGTCCAACTACACTATTGATGTATTGCATTTTCCCCTCTCTCCAAAGTTCATAATGCCCTAGATGGAGGCCTTTGATGGGACGAAAGATCCCATGGATCACCTCATCACCTATAAGAACCAAATGGAGTTGTATGAATATCAATACCCTGTACGATGCTGAGCCTTTGCCAGCACGTTAAAGGGCTCAGCCTTAGCGTTGTTCAATAGGCTAGCCCCAGCGTCCATCTCTTTTTTCAGAGAGCTCTTCATATCCTTTGTGTCACACTTTATAGGAGCTTGAACTTACCAAAAATTGAGCTACCATCTATTGAATGTGAAAAAAGGACCCAACGAGAACCTACAATCCTATTTCCAAAGGTTCAACTCAGAATCACTGAAGGTGGACGTTCTAGATGAAAAATTCACCATCACTGCTTTCATCGCCGGGTTAGGAGTACAGTCGAATGACTTAATGTTCTCCATATCTAAAAACCCACAAGCTAGTATGGCGAAGGTGCTCGCCAAGACAAAAAAGTACATTAATGGCAAAGACACTCTCCTTTCTAAAATAGGGAACTCATCCACGCAGAAGGAAAAAAGGAAGGAAGAAAAAAGAGGAATTGAAGTCCCAGAAAAGAAAAAGGCTGAAATAGGTCTCCATGAATAGACAAAGATTGTTTCCCCAAAAGAAGGGGAGATGTCAAGGATCACCTAGGTCCTCCACAACCGGAATTGCTGCCGAGGTACACACATTGGCAACTCACTCCACTCATAGCTAAGATATCCCAAATCCTCTATGAAGTATAGAATGAGAAATTCCTGAGGTGGCCACCTCAAATAAAGGCAAACCTAGCAAAAAGAGATGCGATAAAAGTATTGTGAATACCATAGAGACCATGGTCACCTCACTGATGATTGCATTCAGTTGAAAAAGGAAATCAAGTTCCTGATTCAACGAGGGTAGCTACGCCGCTTTGTGGTGCATGATAATTAGAACAGGTCTCACCCTCCTCCAACAGCTTAGCGGCAAACTCTTGCACAACACCAGCAGCCAATGGGAGATATCAAGATGATTTTTGGAGCATTTGCTGCTGGTGGGGAAACCAGCTCATCTAGAAAAGCCCACATGCACAAGGTCCGGACCGAGGAAATGTTGGAAGTGCAGACTGTGGCCAAGGCACCTCGGATGAACTTGGACATCATTTTCTCAGATGCAGATTTGGAGGGGTACCAGCACCCCCATAATGATCCTTTGGTGGTAAAAGCTATCATTGTTAACAAGATCGTTCATCGGGTCTTAATCAACAACGGGAGCTTTACCCGGCATTATCTTTGCATCCACCTTCAACAAAATGGACATAGGTAGGGACAAGCTCGAGTCAATGAGAATTCATCTTCTGGGATTCTCAGGGGAGAGAGTACTTCCCCTAGGGTCAATTCAACTCATCCTCACCATGGGGAGCCAGCCTTGGCAATCCACTACCACGGTAAGGTTCTTGGTAGTCGATGCCCCCTCAGTATATAATGTTCTATTGGGAAGACCTTCCCTCAATGCCATAAGAGCCATCCTCTCTGCCTATTACCTGGTTATAAAATTTTCTACTGAAAATGGCATTGGAATGGTCCGAGGAGACCAGCGAGTGGCGAGGGAATGTTATATGGCATCAATAAAAAGAAAGGATGTTGAAAACATCCTGCTGGATGAGCTAGACATGAGAGATGAGCTGGATTCAAGACCCACGCCCTCGCAAGAGCTAGAGCCCATCTAGCTCGACGAAGGGCTACAACATATGGTATATGTGGGGGCAAAGCTGCCTAGAGAGCTCAGAGACCTCTTTGTTTAGTTCCTTAGAAGGAATATGGGGGTATTTGCTTGGAAGCAAGAAGATATGCAGGGAATTGACCCCTCAGTCATCGTGCACAAGCTCAACATGAACCCAGCCTGCAAACTCATCGAGCAGAAATGAAGGAGTTTTGTCCCAGAATACCAAAAGACAATTAATGAGAAAGTCAGCAAACTTCTCCATGACAAAGCTATTAGGGGGTAGACTACCCAACCTGGTTAGCTAATGTGGTCCTCGTTAAAAAAATCAATAGCAAATGATGCCTCTGCATCAACTTCACTGATCTGAATCGAACTTGCCCCAAGGATAGTTTTCACTAGCTCGGATAGACTTGATCGTGGACACCATGGTTAGACACGAGCTCCTCAACTTCATGGACACCTTCTCAAGATATAATCAAATCAGAATGGACCCTAATGATCAGAAGAAGATGTCATTCGTAACTGAGTAGGGAACATACTGTTACCAAGTCATGTCATTCAGATTGAAGAAAGTTGGAGCTACATATCAACGTCTAGTAAATCGTATGTTCTAAAAATAGATTGGATCATCGATGGAAGTATACATTGATGACTTGCTTGTAAAGTCATTAAAATTTGAACTCCATATCGAGCACCTCGAGGAATCTTTCAAATCCTCAAGAAATACCAAATGAAGCTTAATCTAGTCAAGTGCGCCTTTGGGGTTTCAGCCAAAAAATTTATTGGCTTCATAGTCAACAACAGAGGAATTGACGCAAACCCGAAAAAGGTCAAGGCGATAATAGACATGCAACCTCCTTCCAACACCAAAGAGGTCCAACGCCTAATAGGAAGAGTAACAGCTTTGAGTCACTTTGTGCTCAAATCAAGCGACAAATGTCAACCTTTCTTTCAGATTCTAAAGTGAGCTTTCCAATGGGATACGCAGTGCGAGTAGGCATTCAAGGCCCTCAAGAAGTAGCTTAGCACACCACCAATTCTAGTAAGGAGAGGTATTCACCCTTTATCTTACTGTTTCATACTTCTCAACTAGTGCATCGCTTGTCAATGAACCAAGATAGAGCTCAGTGACCAGTTTATTACTACAACAGAGCTCTAAGAGGGGCAGTGGAAAAATACCTGAAGATAGAGAAACTGGTCCTAGCTCTGGTCATAGCTGCAAGGAGGCTCAGACCTTATTTTCAGGCTCATACCATTGAAATTCCTACAGACCAGCCGATGAGACAGGTGTTGCACAAACCAGAATCCTCAAGAAGGTTGGTCAAATGGGCAGTAGAGCTCAACAAATTCGATATTAGATACAAACCAAGGACCGCAGTCAAAGGACAAGTGCTGACAACTTTCATTGCAGAATTCAACCACAAAAGCCAACGAGTTAGTACTCGACCTTCCTATATGGAAGCTTTCAGTGGATGGAACTGCCAACGCCTATGGAAGTGGTGCAGGATTGATCTTGATCTCCCCTAATGGCATAGACATTGAATACGCTCCCAACTTAGAGTAAAGAAGATTGAGGAAACTTATGAGACTAAGAGAGAATGAATGATCCTATACCTTAAAAAGGTGCAAGAATTGATTAAAAAGTTCATACAAGTTAAAATCAAGCATGTCCCCAGAGCTGAGAACTCCTGAGCAGATGCTTTGGCAAGGCTTGTTACAGCTTCCCAGGAGAGCCTGAATAGATTAATCCTAGTTGAACCATCTATAAACCATGAAGACGAGAGGTGTTCCCTGTATTAGTCCTGCTGAGCTGGATGGACCCAATCAGAGAATATATTCAGAATGGAAGCTTGCCAGAAGATCCCAAGAGGCTGCAAAGCTAAGAGCTAGGTCATCTAGATTCACGATTCTGTAAGGAAACGAGGATGCGTAGGAGACGAGGATGCTAATTACATACTCAAGAAAATCCACAAGGGGAATTACGTCAACCATATCAGAGCTCGAGCTCTAGTAGGAAAGGTACTAAGGCAAGGGTACTTCTGGCCCACTATACTCAAAGGCTACAGATATGGTCAAAAGATGTAAGGTCTGCCAGATACACGCAAACGCCCCTCATTGTCCACCAGAGCTCCTAACCTCAGTAGTAAGTCTTGGGCCTTTCCAATAATGGGGCCTGGACATACTTGGGCCCCTTCCCACTAGTACTGAACAGTGTAAGTTCACCATTATTGGGGTGGATTACTTCACCAAATGGGCAAAGGTGGAGCCCTTGACGACAATCACAAATTTTTTTTTCAAAACTTCATTTAAAAATCGATAATCTGCAGGTTTGGAATACCCAGAGCAATCGTATTTGATAATGGGAAACAATTTAACAATCCCAAGTTCAAAAAGTTATGCGCCGATCTAGGAATAAAGAATTACTTC